AGAGATACTACTTAAACTTAGCCAAATGGTTCTAGCCGGTAGAACGGAGACGAATGTGGACAAACTGAGGAGAGTCTTCATCGGAGATTCACGCAGAACCTTTCTGCATTGAACTTGACGTCGAATCCTGAACGGATAAAATGAGTATTTTTTGTGGCCGGTCAACCTGAGCAATGTAGACGTATATTGCTACTGGCTTCGACAGGGGTTATAATATAAATATTGGAGGCGCGATAGATCCTAATGACGTGACAGCTTCTAACTTTGCGAGACGCGTCCCCCCCCCCCTTTTGAAAGCAGATAATTTCCCTCGTTAATCATATGCAGCGAGCAAATTTTCCGAATCAAGTAATTGCGAAATTAGCCCAACTCCTTCAATGTGGTCTTTTTCGGCGAAAAGCCGCCAAGATGAATAGCCAACGCACCGGCCGGCGTTAGTGGCTAAATTAAATTGAAGCTAATCGAGCACAACCAAACTCAAGGAACGCAGCTATCGAACCTTCCCATTCACTTGACTGCAACATTGGTGTTCCCTCCAGTGAAACACTTCGTCTGTCGACCTCAGTCCACTGTTCTATATCCTTATAAAGAAACCACTTATCAGTTACCAAGTAGTCGTCACTTTGAATGTGATTAGAGACAGACGAGAAATCAAAACGTTTTTCCGTGATTCCTCGTCATCCAAAAACTTGAAAGCACGCGACCGTGCGTAGTGGAGTAAACGGGCTTTCAAACACGTGATGGAAAGAAACAATCTGCTGAGGCTTCACCACACTAATGAACACTCAGGCAAAGTTAAGAAATTTTCGGACCTTCGTCCAATTACATTGCTCGCCCCCGCACCGACAGCACGTGTCCGCGAAAGCCATCAGTGACGCGGCGGGGCGCGGAGCGACCTGGACCGACTGGTTCCCGGTTTTCCCGCTTGGCGGCGTCCGTTTTGCTGGAGTCGCGAATTGCTCCCGTATCCTTCCCATGAAAGCTCATGACCGCAATGTCATCAACATACCTTCTCACTAAAACTTCACCCGACCCCCAAACTGCCAGCCTTTCCGAGATCGCGTTATCCAAAGAGTTTAAATAAATTTCTGCCAAAATAGGTGCCACCGCAGACCCAATACACACACCCTTCTTTTGAATCAAAGGATGTCAAAGGATGTCAAAAAATTGTCAACAGTTGCGCTATAGCCCATCACAGCTTAAGAAGCCCAGGTTATTATGTTCACACATCTTCGTTTTGTAATCGGACATTGGGCGTTCTTATTAGCCGAGGACGACATTTCACTAAAGCGATAATCCGAAGCTCGGGACTCGTCACGCCCCGAGTTTCTTGATCTGTAAGCGACACTATACATCGTTTTTTATTTTTATTTATTTATACTGTTAGCCCGTAGGGGCTGTTACAGGAGTGTAACAGATATACAAAATAGAACACTAAGTAGTACATATGAAGGCACATTTTTGAACACTACAACTCACGAAAGACAAGAGTACACTATTTTGGTAAACCACACTGAATACACAACAAAAACATTTTTACGTATAATATCTTCTCAGTGCTAAAACTTACAAGAGCGTACGCTGCTGAGCGCGCAAAAACAACATCAAACAAAGGCTGATAAAAAAAAAAAAAAAACAAGAACACATGAGCAGATAATAAATGGAGTCACGGAAGTCCCAATCCATTTAAGTATCAAGAACATATAATCTAAATTATCCAGTGCCAGAGGGAAAGGTTCGCTAGTATTGATTATACAATTTAGAAATGCATGTTTCAAAAGAAGCTAGGGTATCACTTAATACTATTTCTTCGGGGAGGTTATTCCACTCCGATATAGTTCTTGGAAAGAAAGAATACTTATATGTATCATTACTTGGTTTCTCTAAATTTATTTGACATGGATGAGTACTTCTTAGATGCCTAGATACACGGGGCGTTATATAGTTACTTGTATTAAGGTTAAACATTTGATTTCTCAACAGGAATAGGAATTTTAAACGAGCTATTTTCCGGCGATCAGAAAGGAGGGGAAGACTTAACTGTTTAAGCATTTCATTTACTGATTCGGTTCTTCGATACTTCGACAGTACAAACCTAGCAGACATTCTTTGCACCCTTTCTAATTTGCTTATTTGGTAACTTCTAAAAGGATCCCAGATAACACAAGCGTATTCTAAAGTTGGCCGTATTAACGTTTTGTATGCAGTTAATTTTGTTTCAGGTGGAGCGTACTTAAGGTTGCGCTTAAGGAACCAGAGCTTTTTTTTGGCTGTGGAGCAGATGCTGTCAATATGTGCGTTCCAGCTTAGATCAGACGATATTGTAACGCCCAGATATTTAAATTGAGAAACTTTAGTCAAAGGTTGGTTATCAAATTCGTACACAAATGGAAGAACGTTTTTCTTTTTGTTAGTTATCACAGAAAAGACTGTCTTGTCACGATTAATTTTCATTCTCCATTGCTTACACCATTCTTGTACTTGCTGTAAAGAGTAATTTAACTGTACCTGATCATGGTGACAAGAAACATTTGTATACAACAAGCAGTCATCTGCGAACAACCGAACAGTAACATTAGGCCCTACTTTTTCCGTAATGTCGTTTATATAACACAAAAATAATACGGGCCCCAATACAGACCCCTGGGGAACGCCGGAGGGTACACTTACAATAGCTGAATTCTTTTTGTTTACTTGCACATACTGTATTCGATTTGTGAGGTAGGCTTTAATCCACAAAACAATGTTTTCATTTACACCCAGGTTTTGTAATTTATGAATAAGTTCAAAATGAGGCACCCGATCAAAGGCCTTTGATAGATCCAAACATATCGCATCAATTTGCCCTCTATTATTAACAGCTTTGGCAAAGTCGTGTACAGTTTCAGCAAGCTGTGTTACAGTCGAGAGTGACTTTCGAAACCCATGTTGGTTAGAAAAAAATATGTTTGAATCTTCAAGAAACCTATACAGCTGCTTAGACACAATATGCTCAAGTATCTTACAACAAGCACACGTCAGCGATATTGGCCTATAATTTTTAACTGAATGCTTATCTCCCGATTTGTGCACTGGTACGACTCTCGCTGTCAGCCAGTCCGAAGGTACCTGATGGCGCTCTAAACTTTTACTGAAAATAACGAATAGGTACTTGGACACCCACTCCGCGTAACGCTTTAAGAATGAGTTGGGAATTTCGTCTGGTCCCGGTGATTTTTTTGTGTCGATCTCTAGTAGTAAGGCAAAAATACCCTGCTCAGAGATAATCAGATCTGGCATAGCCGAGAGCCGCGCGCTTCTTATCTCTTCAACGCTTTTATGTGTGTTTTCACTATCTACAAAAACAGAGTGAAAAAAATTATTAAACACGTTTGCCATTCTGGCGGGATCAGTAATGATACGGTCATTATCGGTGACATATTCCACACCCACCCGTGACGGCGCGAGATGACGCCAAAATTTTTGTGGTGATGTCCTCATAAATTGAAGCATGGATTCTGAAAAATACTTTTCCTTTGCGTCCTTTAGTTTACATTTCAGGGTACGCGATAGTTCTTGAATAAGTGTGGTATTACGAGTTTTTTTCTTGCGGCTGCGGGCTATCTTACGTTTGAGTTGAATTATTTCTCGGGTAACCCACGGGTTTTGTCTTGCCACGCGCTTAACCCTTTTTGGAACGAATCTATCCAAACAGAAGAAAACTACGCTTTTAAATTGATTCCATAGTTCATTTAAGTCTTCCACACCCTCTAGAGAAGAAAGCTGTAATTCTAAATGGTCGAGAATACTGACGTCATCGGCTCTGTTAAAGTTATACACTTGCGTGGTTAAGTACTTTGCGGTTCTGCACGTTGTTGCGACTTTGCAGGATAGCAATACCATCTTGTGATCTGACAGTCCGTCTTCAACGCTTACTTCATAATTTGTTAATTGTTCAGAGACAAAAATTAAGTCAAGTATAGAACTAGATGACCCAGTTATTCTAGTAGGTTCTTGAACCACTTGAACAAGATCGTTACAAAAAGCGATGTCCAATAAAAGCTCGCCATTGTTGGTTTCAGTTGGTCCTGGTTCTAAGTCATCCCATTTAACTCCGGGTAGGTTAAAATCACCAGCAATTATCATCTTGGAGTGATCGGTCACATTTTGTTGTAGGTAATCATGAATAGCCTCCAGATACGTAGTTGGGGAATCAGGAGCTCTATATACTCCACCAATCACATAGGTATGTCCACAAAACGTCATTTTGCACCACAAGCTTTCAGTATCAGCGCAGTCGGCCATCAAGATGCAGGCTATGTTATTCTTATAGATAATAGAAACTCCACCTCCACGGGATCCTCTGTCTTTCCTGATTATTTTGTAGGATGGCGGAAGAAGCTCGGAATCACTTATCTGGTCGTGCAGCCAAGTTTCAGTAACAACAACAATATGAGGGTTATGTACTAAAAGTAGGTGCTCCAATTCGTCCACTTTATTAACAAGGCTTCTCGCGTTCAAATTAATAAGCCGGAGGCATTCTTCCTTCTCAATTTTTGATCGTCATTTATTTTCCGACCGTGAACCCCGGGAATCCGTGACTTTTTCGCGACAGCCAACAGCATCATTCCAAATAAACGTCTCGTCACCGATCTGCATCTTATCGTGTACAAGCCTCACACGTAATCTTCGGGACCTTTCTTCACTTGCACTTTGCCAAAGATTCCGTCTCTTGTGTAAAGTAGCATGCGAATAATCATTGGACACCGATATCTTTGACCCTTTCAGTTTCTTGCAATTCTGGAGTACTTGAACTTTTTCATTGTAATCATACAGTTTCATGATGACAGGGCGACATTTACCTTCATTTTTTTCCCAAGTCTATGAATTCGCTCGACCGTGTTCACAGTCACGCCTAGCTGTTGTTCAAAAACGTCACTAATTACCTTAGTTTTCAAGTCATCATCTGTTTCGCTGCGAGTTTCGGGAATACCAAACACTATTAGGTTGTTTCTTCTAGCCCTATCTTCAAGATCTGTTATTTTAGTCTGTTGTATGTGAACTAGTTCTTCTAACTTTTGAACTGTTCCCCGTAGCTGAACAATATCTTGATTGCTCTTCTGGAGGGCGTCTAGAGCCGTTTCAAGGCGGGTAATCTTTGCAGCCATTTCGTCCTGTCTTTGTTGGGACGTAACCTGGTTTTCCTTCACTTCTTTAATTTCACTACTCATTTGCTTTTGATTTTCAAGAACTTGTTTAATCATTTTTTCTAGTGTTGTATCCGGGCCCGGATTTAGCTCGACGTCCCCAGAAAGAAGCAAGAATAAATTATCCCGACACTGCAAGGCACAGGCAAAAAACACTCGTGGGCACGGCAGAACAATAATACATCGGTTGTCAGATTTGAAACACATGCAATCGCCTTCACTAACCTGTTGTATCACGAAAAGAAGGGGCATGTTAGATGACTTGTCGCTCGGACGGTTGCCGTGCCCACTGACGAAAGCTGCTTCGGGCCGTGCTCTTGTACCCTTCTGGCCTTGAGTCATGGTTGCTGCTTGATGTCCGTGCAATACGCCGATGCTGACGTGCGGTAGCAACGTTTGCGCTTGGTTTGGCCTTGCAAGTCTTGGAACGATGGTTGCCGCCCCCCAACGCAGGAATGGGACATGCGGTGCACAGCAGCATCATCTGTTGTATCACGAAAAGAAGGGGCATGTTAGATAACTTGTCGCTCGGACGGTTGCCGTACCCACTGACGAAAGCTGCTTCGGGCCGTGCTCTTGTACCCTTCTGGCCTTGAGTCATGGTTGCTGCTTGATGTCCGTGCAATACGCCGATGCTGACGTGCGGTAGCAACGTTTGCGCTTGGTTTGGCCTTGCAAGTCTTGGAACGATGGTTGCCGCCCCCAACGCAGGAATGGGACATGCGGTGCACAGCAGCATCATCTGTTGTATCACGAAAAGAAGGGGCATGTTAGATAACTTGTCGCTCGGACGGTTGCCGTGCCCACTCAGCATCATCTTGAGTCCAGGCGCAGCTCCGACACTATAGAGCTGATAAGACCAATCAGACAGCCTCAAATGCGCACAATTATGGTGTTTGTCGTGTTTTGTTTCTATTATCGCTGAACAAATCATGAACAGAAAGGTTTTGACGCAACTTCACAATATTGAAAAAAATATATTTTACCGGAAAGTGTTTTCCAGTAAAATATTTTTTACTGGATTATGGGACTCTTTTCACTTTCAGTAATGCCAGAATTTACCGGAAGTTATTGGATATGCCTGTATTCACGCCGGGAATTACCGGTAGTCACCGGATTTGCCCGGATTCACCAGACTTCGCTGGAAGTTACTGTCTTTTTTTTTTTTTGTTGTTTATCGGAGGACACCGGAAGGCACTCCAGAAGGAGCCTGTGAACCCTGGGTGGTGTATGTTTACCAGATGCTGAAGGATTCGGAAACCAATAAATCTCGACGTCAACATCTAATAAAAAAACGCTACATGTTGTTGAAAGTCGAAAGATGTCCGTCCTTGTCCCTCTTTTTGTTTACTCTTTCTGTAACAAGTTATCAAAACCAGCGCGTTCACGTTCAACTATATTAATATAGACTTAGAAGTTCCACAAAGCTTTTAGTACCAGTATGATAACACAATTTTTTTTTTTTTTGGGGGGGGGGTTGTTTGAAGAAAGAAACAAGCACTTCCCAAGGTTAGGTGAAAGTGTTCTATCGGCTTGTATTTGCCAGCAATATTAATCAAAATGTATTCACCAGCAGAACTGGCCCAGAAACCAAGCATAAGATTGCACATTAAAAGTACCGCTATTGGCTTTCAAAAGTAGACATGATATAATCAATAGATCATTTAAAAAAAATACATGTGCCAGAACAACTTCACCACAAACCTAGGAGAACATTGCACAATAAAGTGACTCCCACAGGTCTTCTATGATAGGCATGACATAATAAACAAATTAAAAATGACACCTGCCAGAGTAACTGGCTCACAGACACTGAAACACATTGCACATTAAAAGTGACTGCCAGTGGCTTCCTGGGGTATGCATAACATAATGAATAAAATAGATTAAAAAGAGCATCCACCAGCACAACCGGCACACAAACACAGAAAGAAATTGCGCATTAAAAATGACTGCCACTGCCTTTCTGATGTGGGCACGACATAATAAAAAATAGATTGAAAATAATGGAATCCACCTACACCAGCGGCTCACAAGCACTAACATACTTAGCACATTGAAAGTGGCTGCAACTTGCTTTCGAAGTTGGGCCCCGCACGAGAGGTCTCGTACCTGCTCTGCCGCAAACACTATTGCTTGTCACCTATAGCATGCTGCCGGCGATCGCTGCGCACTTTTCTGGATATTCAAAAGAGTTCGCTGCGCGCTCTATTTGCAGATTTGCAACTTTGTCACAGTTGCCCTGTCTAGAACGGTTATCCCCTTTACGGTTCGCCAGCCGGAACCTCTGCAACGACTGCGAGAAACATTCGTTTGTTAAGGCAGGTCAGCCCGAGCGGTTGGAGCGTGTGCCCAAGTCGGGGTAAACGCAGCGAGCTGAGTCGGACACACAACTTTTCAAACAAAGAGTATCAAAGACCGACGTACACTTCGCGCTTTGCACTTTTCCCGCCTCCTCCTTTATTACACCCTCTCCACTTTTTACCTTGCCCCAGCTTGGCTCCCCTCGCGGCTTAGGAGAGGGGAGTGCTAAGGGGATTATCTTCGCTGCAGGAAACCGAGGTTGTACGTCGGCCTTTAAGAAAGAAATCGAGATTTGGCGAATAAGCAACGATCGCACAACAACAAAGCCAAGGTTCCAACGGAGAGCTACACAGTTAGCAAATCCGAACAGACAGCGTGCTACAACATTACTAAGTTTCTAAAAACTTTGGACAATTCAATAAAAGATCAAAACAACGGACGGCAGAACAAATAGGACAAATCGTGAGTCTGAAAAGTTCAAAGGGCAGGCCTCACTCAAGTTGAAGTCGAAGGGGCATCGTGAAGCTCTCCGCGGTGGTAGTCCAGCAGAAAGACGACGGCTGCGAGTCCGACGATGAAGAAGCCTCATGGTTGTGTTTCCCAGCAACCGCAAACGTCATGTTCAGTTCCCGACCCACAAACTCTGTCCGCCCGCCCTCCGAAAACTGTCCCTCTCTCCCGCGTCGCATTGCCTGCCTCGCCGGTGCCGAGGGCACTACCTTCACCGGAGAACAAAGAACGGGATTTGTCATCTCGTGCGAAGTCGTATCTCGAGGGAGGCCCACGCAGAACGAAAATTGGTGGAGCAGGACAAATATACGAGGAGAAACTCTGTGGGAGCGTCGGTCGTGGCCAGAGCTTGTGACAAACGTCGTCCTGAGATAAAACACTCATGAGAATGCTACTGCGTTGGTGGCCGCCATTACACACTCATTCCCCGGTTCGAGACTGCTCCGCCCGAGCGGTCTCGTACCTACACTGCCCCAGACACTTTTGCCTTTGGCAAATAGTATAGTTGCCGGAGATCGCTGCAAACCTTTCTGGATCTTCAAAGCAGTTCTCTGCGCGCACTCCTGTCCCTCAAGCCAAAGGAGTCTTGAAGGACAGGAGCTTGCAATTTGGACGAGGAAGTGCAAAGTATGTTTAACTAATAGCTAAATGAAACCCCGGAATAAAGCGTTAAAACTGTAATCCTACAATCCTAAATCTAGCAACTTTAGTTTTTTTAATGCCTGATGGTATTGGCCTCGTAGACACAATCAAGTAATATATTACAGATAGAGGGCACATAATAACACCGAACTCTTTTCCAATAACGTGCAACACAACGTGAGACTTCAAAGCGAGACGCACAACGAAGGTTTCTTTGGGCAACAAAGGGACACTTAAATTCATTTTTTTCAAAAATGGCGAAGCACGACAGTTTACATCAACAACAGACATCATCATCAACAGAAAAGAAAACTTGGCATTCTAAAGAAACTCGAAAACATTCACATCAGGACAAAACTTCCTAAGGGTACACAACTATCTTTAGCAAGTTCCGCAACATGCGATCAATTTTATATGCCTCATTTTGCCACAATTACCGAAGAAAGTAATACCATACCTCAATACACTGTAGCCAAACGCATATCCGATAGACTACCTAACTGAAAAATACATAAAAACATTGTGATTGAACAGGAATCTGCCGCCCTCCGAAGTTTTCCACACACATGTAAGAGATGCCAATTCCAAAACACATCTGAACCTTAAAAAAAAAAAAGAAGAAATCCCAGATATCTCACATGATCAACATATTCTAGCCAGGAACATGCGCAATTTAGACGACTTGATTCGTGTAACAAAACAGGCAGTGTAATTACCACGGCCTTCAGTAGATTTCTGAAACAAACCAGCTTCGGTTTCCAACTATTAATTTTAATTAAATTTTGGTCGAACCAGTCCATAATTTTCGGCGCGTCGTGGCTCAATAGTTGAACGGCTTGATCGTATTCAAGATGCATGGAAGCAAATACAGTACCGTCCGCATATTGGAAAATACCACAACCAGGCAATTCCGTCGAAAGGTCTTTTACGTAAAGGGAGCAGAACAGAACCTTGTGGCACGCCAGCTTCTATCGTCGATCGTGCACTTTTATAATTACCAACAGATACGATTTGGGAGTGACTCAAAAATACTAATAATAAAATTTATAAAAGTCCCCCAAAGCAACCAAAGTCCGGCCTTTAGATTGACGTACTTCCACAAAACAGAGTAAGTAATAAGCAAAAATATACATGATTACACTCAGGACAGGCTAATACAAAAATAGTACAAAACACAAAAATTAAAATTACTAAAGAGCAAATTATTCATTGCACATCTTGTTTCAGTAGGCCGTAAATATGTCTACTCAGCGCTTCGATTAAATGAAGGGTTGAATGACGAATTTCCGCTGATCTCTCATAAAGATTTTTTTTTAGAAAAACCAGTTGTTTTATAGAAACACTGCATCAGAAGCCTCTTCGGCTACGCCCCACCTCGGAAACTTCGCATAATAGCCTCTCATGCAACCTGCAACGAATATAGAAAGCGCGAGTGAACGCTCAAGGTCTTCAGCTTGCTCCCTGGACAGAGCTGCGACACTGTAATAAAGTGACTCGATCCAAAAGGGGGTAAAATACTGCACCGTGATCGAATATATAAAAAGAAATGTCTGGTAAGGCAAACATTGACATGGTAATTAAATTTACAAAGGAGCTCACACGAGTCAATAGAACTCTTTGCAACCTTATGTAGACGGGCCACAAAAGATATTTTCCTAGCTGATATTTATAGAACTGACATTTTCCTCGCAACCTCTCCCTGGAGTATGTTCTTTTAGGAGGGGGTTTTAACCTCTCTGACTTGGCTTGGGAGAGCGGAAAAGCCGTGCGCTCGGGAAACTCGCTTTAATGCTATTGTAGAAATGTTTTAACTAACGCAACACGTTACGGAGTGAACGCTATTTACAAACGTCTTACGCTTTAGTACTGTGCAACTTGCCGAATGCCATTGATAATGTTTGTGTGATTCCTGGCATTTCGCACCACAAGAAAATGACAGCGACATTGGATCATTCACGGTTATTGAAATCAAACTTCCAAGGTAGGAGAGCGTTTTATTACGGTAACGGAAACTATGACGACACAAAAGATTAATCGGCGCGTTTCTTTCCGTATTTCTTGGAGCTGGCAGACGATATAAGCATGGATGACCCCTGGAAAATCTTCAAATTCAAAGTTCATGCCCTTCTTGACAAGCACGTTCCATCTGGGGATCAATCTTCTAAATATAAAAACAAAAACAAGCCTTGGGTGACAAAAGAGGCTAGGCAGAAAATAAAAAAGAACCGAATAATATACCTTTGGAATAGAAATCACGGGAGAGCGCCCAACATGGCAAAGTTAGAAAAAAGTAATGCTCGTTTTAGAACAACT